ATCCAGGAGCAGCACATCATTAGATGGGCGCAGCATAAAAACAATCGCTGATTTCCTTTCCCAACTGTATCCATGTGTTTAAAATGAAAGGTGGATGAGTTTCCTTACATGAGATGGGTAGCTATTGTTGAACCTCCAAAATAATTTCTGACACATTAAGAGGCTATCACCAAGCCCACGCTGCTGTTGCAGAAGGCAGCACCAAGAAGACAGGGTACCACTTGAGCAGCCAGACTCTCCTCCAGCAGCTCAGGAAGGCTCCCGGGAAATGCCAAGCCTGGTCAGGGAACACATGCTCAAATCCACCCTGGACAATGCAAGAAAATCCTGAAGTGCACTAAGCTACAGTGATAACAACACATTTTCATTTTTCCCCCTTTTTCTAACATTGTCTCCTATTCTGTAATGAATGACCCAACCTTACAGGCTGTTGGAATTAACACTACCTGCTCTTTGCACTTGGCTAATAATATTAGGGTCTAATAACGGACAGAGTCTTGCCGTGTTTCTAACAGCATCCAAACACTTTTTTTCCCTTAGGAAACCAGCAATCAATGCTAACAGGCATACTTTTAAGGATTCATAATGTGTTTTAGTATCCTCAAGGGCTGCCAGAGCTATTTTGGATACTGGAGATATCATATATTCAGTCTGTGCAGTAGAAGCTTCTTTGGCAGAAGAAACATCAGCCCCTTCTGCACCGAGGTAATAAGGAAGACTGGGAATATTTTCCTACCATACAACTGACCGAAGGGGAAGGGAGCTGGGAGTCCTATGATCCAAATAAAGACAGGGTTTTGGTGTCTAAGATGTCTAAGTTTTGGTGTCTAAGATGTCTAAGTTTTGGTGTCTAAGATGTCTAAGTTTTGGTGTCTAAGATGTCTAAGTTTTGGTACCTGCACAACTTAACGCACCAGATCCTTTGCTTCAATTAAAAATAAATGCTGACTTACCTTTGCACTGCCTGGGCAGACACTGAAATCTTAGGGCTACAGATGCAGCTGGCTTTCAGCACAAAAAACAACAGAAAAAAGCCCAGTTATTACTGGACAGTATTTCTAAAATGTTACTTATTGAAATGAAAAAAGCAGTCACTGTTCCTTTGGTTTGGGTGCTTTTAATAAAAGCAAAGGAAATGAGAGACAAAAGTTTTTAAAAGAACACTAGAAAATAAAATCTCTTTCTTATCCAGTAGCTCAGGGATTTGTTTTCAAGGCTGAGCACTGAGGCTTGATTCCTACATCTGTTCAGAGGAAGGTGAACATGCATCTCCTCCCAGATCAGGATCATAACCACCAAATAGCACATTACAGCACAATGCTTCCACCCCCAGCATGCAAAACTTTGTATTCACCCAGAGAACAGAAGAATGGCAACACTAGAAACTGCAAATAATTTTTCCTAAAAACGTACAACAGCACAGTGGTTAAGCACAAACCACTAGAAAATGGATAATAGAAATTGAAATTACAGAGGCAAACAAAAGAGCTGAATGCTGCTCTACCCCAGCCTTGATGGATGGGTTATCCCTTGACTGAGTTTGACCTGAATTTTCATTTACAAAGGCAAAGTAAACAGAAACCCAAATCCAACTCTATCATGTCGTTATCTTACATGTAGAATGAAGAGTTTAAGAAATATGTACCTAAAAAGACTCTTAATCCTCATAATAATAATAATAAACCCCTAAAAATATTTGCTCCTGGCTTTAACTTCTCAGTATGTTCAGTGAGCACATAAATCAGGCTAGAAAATCAGGTTAAATTTATGTAGGATTTCAATGTCTAGCTATGGGCACTCATTTCACTAAATTACCATTTTCTGTCTAACCTAAATAACTAAAAGGAACACAGGTGTCTGTGTCTCTATTCAGTAGATTTTTACGACTGTGACAAGACAGACAACCAAAAAGAGCAGAAGTTCTAGCACACACATTTATTGCAACTTCTTCAGAGACTTTTTTTTTTTTAATGTATGGAAGTGCTTGTTTGAATTTGCTACTGGGTATGAGATTTAATGCAAAACTAAAACGTTTTTTTCTGAAATAGAATGAAATCTGAATTCTATCTGAAACAGAATGAAGAAAAAAAATCTAGCTTTTTAAAATAGAGCCTTTAAAAGCTTCAAAGCAAATCCATAAAATCATTCTATTTTGATGTTACTCCTTTTATTTTCACAAATATAAAGTTTCTACATCAAAATTGTTTCTGATCAGAAATGAACATGTCTCAAGGTCTATTGATGTTCTGCCATTCAATTCTCTTCATTTGAAGCATTTTCAAAAAGGTCTGTCCCTCCCTCTCCTCTTCTCTTTTCCTTCCATTTTGACAAATGTAGAACCTCCAAACCAAAAAATATTCTCCAGCTCTGTTTCCCTCATACAGCACGTCCAATCTTCCACATCCTTTTGCTTCTCTCCAAGTAATTCCTGTGTACAGTTTTTACCTTTAAAATTGCTAAGATTTTTGCTTGCACCTTTAAGGCTGGTACAGACACACAGATCTTCGTAAGACCAATTATTTAAATGAAAAAAAATGTTTTCCTTATAACGCAAAGGATTCTTCAGCTCCTACCTGAGGGTTCACTGTAAAACCAAAAGAACCTTTTTGCAGTGTTCAACAGCATTACTTAACCATGAGTGAAACACTAAAATACCAGGCACGTGTCTCACCACTGCTACCTATTTCACAAGAGAAAGGACACCCTGTCTGCCATTCCCATCAATCGCAAATCTGTTAGTAAAGAGGCCAAAATCAATGTCCTGCCAGGAATCCGGCACCTGTAACAATGAATGCGTTCAATCTTTTAGTCTTTAAAACCCAGCTTGCATCCAAGCCCACCAAAACCCAATCTGTGGCAAAAGACTCTTCTACTATGCCAAGGAGCATACCTGGTAACCTCTGCCATCGGTGTGCACAATGGCTGGTGCTCACTGGCTGCTCTGAGATTAGACACCAGTAAGTTAACCTTGATAACACATCAGGCATCTTTGCCATTGCATTATAAATTAGGAGGCAAGACCATAATCATAGAATCATAATCACAGAATGACTTGGTTTGGAAGGGACCTTAAAGATCACATAGTTCCAACCCCCTTGCTGTGAACAGGGTTGCCAACTGCTAGATCAGGCTGCCCAGGGCCCCATCTAACCTGGCCTTGAATGCCTCCAGGGATGGGGCATCCACAACTTTTCTGGGCAACCTGGTCCAGTGTTTCACCACCCTCTGGGTGAAACATTTCCTCCTAATATCTAACCTAAATCTCCTCTCTCTCAGTTTAAAACCATTTCCCCTTGTCCTATCACTATCCGCCCACGTCAAAAGTCACTCTCCCTCCTGTTTATTATCTCCCTTCAAGTACTGAAACACTGCAGTGAGGTTTCCCTGAAGCCTCCTTTTCTCCAGGCTAAACAAGCCCAGCTCCCTCAACCTTTCCTCATAAAAGAGGTGCTCCAGCCCTCTGATCATCTTCGTGGCTCTCCTCTGGACCTGCTCCAACAGCTCCACATCTGATGGATCCTCTGCTCGTGTGGGCTTTGACAAGTCGCAATGGTTAACCAACTATTCCCGTTATCTGCTATTTTCCTGCAAGGATCAGTCAGAGGTGGGAGGTGGGATGGTGACATGGCCCTGACAGACCAGCAGCTCAGAGATTGCTCTTAAAACATGTCTTGGGATATTCCTGTGTCTTGCCTCAGTTCTCCAGAAATTTAATTTGTATCTCTCGTTGGTACTTACTCAACCTGTTAGTCAAAATAGGAAACTTTGGCCAGGAAAATGGGAAAGCACAAATAAGGAATTTCTTTCTAGTTTTAGAGCAGACGCTTGGCTGCCTGCCAAACCCCACTACAGGGTTATGCAAATGCGTTCACTCTTCTTTATCAGTAGCCAAAATATCATCGCTCTTGTAAAGCGACATCTGCACAATGGGGTCCATTCTTCAGAAGAATGGTGGCAAATATGTTGCACAACAAAAGGAGGAGGACATTACCAGGGGATGCTTAAAGGGAGTCGATGTCAGGGGTATCTGATATCAGTGACACTCCAGTCCTGGAATTAAACATGGATTGGATTTTAAGCTGGATATTAGGGCTGGATTTTAGGTCCAAAAGGAGAAAGGAAAAGCATGTGATCATCTGGACTCCATAATACGATGTGACTTTTTGCTCTCTGTTCAATCAATGGGCTTTCCTCTTGTATTTGGAATAAGAGTAAGGGATGGGTTAGGCTCAGCTCTCTGCAGTAAATCTGAGACTCAGCCTCAGCAGAAAAAGTCTGCCAGGGGGCAGCTAATGGAGTTGTACACTCCCAAAAAGGGGGTTAGATCAGCAAAAAAAACCCAGAAAGGAGCAAGGAAGAAGACAGCATGATTAGGGGTAGAGTCATTAGAGCTAAAGCTCTGGGGACCCTCTGCACTGTCATCCAGAAATTCAGTGTATAACTCACACAGCAGAAAGAGAAAGAGAAAACATTTTTAGAAACAGTGTCTTCCATTCCCCATCTTACAGTGAATACAGCAGTGAGCATGTGAGGGCAGAGCGAGTGAAATTTTAACAAAGTCAGGATCCCTTTCCCAGAGCCTCTGATAAGGAATGAGATACAAGAGGCAGAAGAACAGCTAACAAGTGTTAGCAGACATAAACCTGCTGCTGGTCGCACGGCAGCATAAATCACGAGTGACTCCATTAAAGTCAAGCAGCTACACAAGCATAAAATCTGTATATTTAGAATCAGCATATATTTAGAGACAAGTAATAAAGTCAAGATGTTAGAAACTGCTGGAATAGTTCACAAAGCTTGACTTTTTTCCAACCAATAAAAAAAAAAAAACTGTACTTTGCTACAGATCTAATGGGAGGGGGTAAGAAACAGGCTAAAATGTATATTTTCACCTCAGTATGTGAGCAAAACCACTGCAGACATTAACAGGGGTAGAGAATTGGACATAAAATAAGCCCTTCTCTCTGCAATTTGAGTTTGCGCAGGAGCCAGGAGTTATAGATTACTAAGAAGCAGATTGATTTCCTCAGAATTCAGGAGCAAGATTTTTCAAGAGCTTTTAATATCCCTGAAAAACAGAACATGATAACTTCTCCAGAAATCTTGCTTTTCTGAGAATTCAATCAACTTCTCAGTCACCTATAGCTCCTGGCATTTGCCCAAACCCAACCTGAAGTCAAACGGCAGAGCTTAGATAGCTTAAATTTAAATGCGAGAAATGGAGATAATAAATCTATCCATTATTTGCTGCACATTACTGTAACCTTCACATTTGAATTACAGCAAAGCAGCCTACATAGACTAAGATAAATTGTTAGATAAAACACATGAGGAGAGAAATCAAGAACCACTGCCAAAGAGAGACATGCAAGTCACCGATCTCGTATCAGCATCCAAGAGTTACACCCAGCTGAGAAGGCTCCTCAATAAGCAGGAGGGCAATCACAGGTTTGCTCACTGATCTATTTTTCCAAGAAACACCTTCTGGTAATTTGCAAGGCCAAAATTTTCAGACTTATTTTATCCAGTGTTGATTTCTAAGAATGAAGGAGTTTAAGCTGGTGTAATTTTAGCCTCTTCTTCCAAATATATGCAGTACATGACTGAGAATGAAACCTCCCTCTTCCCCAGCCAGGGCCCAGCAACAGTATAAAGTGATATATAATTCTATTTCCTCTTTCTTTTCTCAAAACATCAAAACAAAACAGAAGAGAATTATTAAAAACATAAAATGAATTAAACAGTCACAAATCGTAGAAGAATGGAAAATATTCAGCATATGCTAGCTTTACAAGAAGGGAATTAAATCAAAAAAGAGACCATAAAGAAAAGACATTAAAATTTGCATTTAAAACTCAAGAGCAGGAGCATGTTTGCTGTGGGGCTGCCACACAGAGCAAGTCCTCCATCAAACCTTCTGGGGATGAACAAAAGACAAAGCATCCTTACCTCAGCACTGCGGTTTTGCCATCGCTCCTTACACACCTGACCTGCCTGGTTTGGTAACCGATCTCCACCTCCCTGGGACGGTGGTGGGGCTTATAGCCTTGAAGTCCAGATGTGCTTTGTTCTGCAGAGTCCGAACCCAAATCCGGCATAGTCCTCCCCACCAGGTCGATGTCTTTAGGATGGGGCAGTCGGCACTCTCCCCAAGACCCGACTCGGAGGCTGTAGGTGTGCTCCTCCTCCCCGCGAGGACAGGCAGGAGCGATGCAGGCTCTGGATTCGGTCAGATTTGGGCACGGGGCACCCCCGTAGAGAGGGGGAGCAATGACGGCCCGCGTCCGGTGCTGCAAGCGTTCGCCGCAGCCCGTGCCACACTCGGACCAGCCGGAGAACTCGGACACAACGCAGTCCCGCGGGCAGGGCACCAGGCAGGCTTGCTCGGTGGGTGGCTGCGGTGTGAAATACTCACATATTTCGTTGGTGACAACGGTTCTGTTCAGCTTCTGAAGGCAGCGGACGCTCCGGCGCTGCAGCCCGTGCTGCGCGGTGACACAAGCCCCAGCTCCCACCTCACCGCCAGCGAAGGGGACGAGCCCACACCGATCCCATCCCGAAACCTCCCAGTCAAAGAGCTCCAGGTGCCAGTCACAGACTTTAAAGCACCTCTTCTGGCTTTCGGGTTTGTCCTTCTGGTCACAGTTCGCGTGGTACGTTGTCCACCCCTCTGCGTGGGTGCACCAGACAGCCCGACTCCGGAGGCCCTCCAAGCCACAGTCACCTACACACCGGCCCCAGTGACCTGCAAAAGAGGGAGTGGTGAGAAATCACAGAATCACACAGAATCACAGAAGGTCAGGGATTGGAAGGGACCTCAAAAGATCATCCAGTCCAATCCCCCTGCCGGAGCAGGAACCTAAACGAGATTACACAGGAAGGCGTCCAGGCGGGTCTTGAATGTCTCCAGAGAAGGAGACTCCACACCCTCCCTGGGCAGCCTGTCCCAGTGCTCTGTCACCCTCACTGTAAAGAAGTTTCTTCTCAAGTTTAAGCGGAACCCTCCTGTGTTCCAGCTCACACCCATTGCCCCTTGTCCTACCATTGGGCATCACTGAGAAGAGAAATGATATGCAACACTCCTGCCACGGATCCGTCCCGACACCCAGTAGCATCCAAACCATCCCTGCCATGTATTAAAAAGTAAATAACTACTAGTTGGTCCCTAAAATTGTTTAAAAGCTTCCCAAAGGCTGCAAGTCATTTCTCCTCCCAGTGCGCTCCCATCACTAGACCACTTGGAGAAATTGTGGGAGGAAAAAAAAAATGCCCAAGAACATCTCAAATTAAAGGCAGGCCAGGCAGATTTCTGTAGCAGTAAAATGCATCCTAAAGCCTGAGGAAATATGAATATTTATTTTCACTTGTACAAATGAATATAAAAATGATCATAAAGGAACAATAATCTAATAGGAAAAGAAAGTTAAGTTAGATAAGTGGAAAAAAGGCTTAATAGAGCAATTAGTCAATGGAATAAACCGTACTGGGAAGCAGCTGAATCATCATCTGCGGTGATAAAACAGCGAGGATAAATACTGTGAGAATAAGAGCACACTCTTAATAGGAGTTTGAATTGGCTTGATATGATGGTGTATGTCCCGCAGGGCGCTGCTCCGAGAGCAGAGCCCCGACACCAGCCAAGGCACCCCGACTGCAATGACTTCTGCATTACCCTGGGACACACGTCAAGCACGTCATTTCCACTTGCAGCACGTGGCACTATAAGAGGTGGTAAAGCTAGTCATTTGGGAAGAGAAATTAAATCAAAATTAAACCCAGCAACTTCATTTTTAGTTTTGGAGCACATGAACATATATATGGAATTGTATGAATTTTATTCGAGGATTTGCAAGTGAACGTAATCAGACAAGGTTAAATTGGAAGATTTTTCTATAACAATATTATTCGACAAAAATCCACCAAGCCAAAAAAATATACTGAGGGCTATAAAGTACAAAATTGCTTGCAAGCTGAAAAGAAAAGGTAGAGAAAAGCACTGAGGTTGAATCTTACCATATTAAAGGGATGTTGATGACCATGTTTCAAGAGGGTCTCATCTCATGACTAAGTTTTAAAACTTTCCAATGCCTCACAACAGCACCATTTCGCTCACTAAGAGCGCTGCATGTGTAATTCTTGCATGAGAATACACTGAAACTACTTTATATTTTGTAGTTTTTCAAGGCAGAAAATGAACTCACAATAAATAGGACAACTTATATTAAGAAATGCTACTCCAGCTGAGTTTTTTAAAATTGATTTTAAAACTACCAGAATCAGTTACATGCTTACACTACAAAACCAAACATGCACATAAAAAACAAAACCAGCCCCATAATGGCTGCAATTATAATACCAGGTATTTTATTCAGCTGATGACAGTTTTGTTAGTAATCTCATTGTTCTTTTTCCTGAATAGAGGAGTTAATCCTCCAGAGCCAGGGGCTTGATTATGCTTAATAAAAAATAAAAATAAATAAAATTCCTGTTGGTTTTTTTACAGTTAATAAAGGAGGAAAGGTAAATAGTAATTGGATAATAGGGCAGGGGGCAAGGGGGGTTTTCAGAGTCATCAGAGTTTAGACAGGTCCAGATTTTTTTTACTCCTTCGGGCTATGTAAAAAAATCTTTGCCCTTTTTACATCTTTATTTCACCCCCAAAGACACCAGTCCAACGGTAAGACTCAGTCATGACACATATCTTGAATGGGAAAAGGCAGCATCAAACTGCACTGTGTTCTCCAAGTTGTACTACACTAACTACAGGTTTTCAACAGAATTAAATGTGCTTAAAAACGGAATATTCAAAAGAAAATTAATCTTTAAATATGCTTTTGAAGTTCTGCTACATTAAGAGGTCCATTGACAATTTAAACGTTCATCCTCATGCTTCAGCTTGATTTAAAAGAATATTCCTATACAAATGCCATCAAGATTCAAAACCAGACATTGGATTATGTATATACTGTCATCTTACTAAAATTAACAGTCCAAATTCAAACCTCACATACTATATGGCTTTTTATTAACAGAGGAAAGCAACACAATTGCATCATGAGCTTATTTCAACATCTCCTTCTTTGAAGCAGTTCAGCAAAGGCAGTTTAATGTTCTTGTGATATGGAAATTTCAGTACGGGAAAAGTTTGGTTTTCACTAGTTTGTTTTTAAAGCAAAAATTCAAGACTAATACTGTTTAACTTCAGCATAGTACATAACAGGATTTTACTCACCAACAGGAGCTTGAAACATATTATACCGATTAAGGATTTACTACTTATTTCTTAAAACAGCAAATAGCATTAAAAATAGCACTAAAAACCCCCATGGAGTAATACCAGTAAAACCAGTTGTAGCAGAGGACTGGACAAATTACACTCACCAAATCTACCACTACTGCAGAGAACTCATCTGGTTAGTACTTTTCATACATTTCTGGCCATTGCTCATTAACTACTCTATAGAATAGCTGCAGATTTACCAATCTCTACATTAACAGGATAGAAGGAGAAGCGGCAGAAGCCTTAACAAGAAATAGCCATTATTTAATGTCAGATGTGAATTTAGAATGAAAAATTACAGAAAAAAAAAGTAAACAAGGACTTGTAAGTAATTACACTATCTTTAGACACATCACATTTTGCAATTATTCTCTGGTAAATGTGCTAAAAACGTAGCCTGCTTTTGGCATACCAAAAAAAGAAGCATGAAAAATAAGGTTAAAAATTAGATGCAAATCCCATTACCATAGATTTTTTTCACTTCCTGATGATCTCTTCAGGACGTGGCAGTAAACCTATCCACAATGTTTCATTGCTTAGTTAAATATCCTGTTCAGTAGCTTAAATGAGGAGAAGGATGTAAATACTTCCTAGTCAATAGCCTGCTTTGTAATTAGAATTTAATTATTTTTAGAAGAGTCATCTTAAATTTACACTTTCCTTGAAATAAATCTGAGTCAATTAAAAAAAAAAAAAAATCTCAGCATAATGTGAATAATAATAACTACATTTTATTAAAAACCCACTGGAATTTAGGCATCAAAAGCCAGAATTTTAGAAAGATGCTTTACAACTCCCAATCTGGAATGGGAGACCACTGGTAATTAAAGCAGAAGACTAAACAAAATGAAAAGTATTTCACAAAAATTTGAAGATAAAGGATAGATATCATCTGTCTCCCAACCAGATACTGGATGGACGTTTGATCTCATCACAGCAGGACATGGGTGGGAGAATGAGAGACAGTGGACGCATGTTGAAACAGGGGAGCTCACAGCAGGATATAAGGAAAAAACCCCATCACTATGAGGATAACCTTTGAAGAGGCTGTCCTGAGGGACAGTAGAATCTCATCCTTGGGAGTTTTTCAAGATCTGACTGAACAAAGCCCTCAGCTACCTGATGTGAATTCAATGCTGTCTCTGCTCTGAGCAGGAGGTTCAACCAGATGACCTCCCATGGTCCGTTCCAACCCAGATTACTCTATGAAGGAGCTTCTAACTGAAAGTAAGACTTACTACCATGGCAAAAAAAGGTTTTCACTAAAAAATACCACCAGGATCTGCAAAGTACCAAGGAACCTGCAATAGCACAAATAAACCCATTTATTAACCAAAGCAAAGAGAAACTGAATCAAATCACTACTTCCAAAAATAAGAAGTTAAGCAAAACTTGCTTGACTTGTACAAAAATTGTAAGAGGCAGTGGGATGTCTTTGTTTATTGAAAACCGTAAAAAAAGACATCCTACTGTCTCTTACAAGATATCTATAATACTGCAGGTGATAAGGACATAAAAAGGTATTAATAAATCAAGTCAATCTAATAAAGAGAAACTGCACATTGTTCTGCTTGCTGTCTTTTATCAGACAGAAAGAATACCATACTATCATCCCATACAGCCTCCCTAGTCCCGTTAAAAGCACGCGATAGCACTGCAAGTGTGGTTTATTTGATGTAGTGTGTACTGATTTGCTTTTCCTGCCTGCAAGACCTACCTACAATTATGCAATAATTATGCCTGAAAGGATGCAGTGACATCTGCTCTTTGACACACAGGTCACGCAAGCATAAGGCACGCAGGCTATTCAGACAATAATTACATATTACAGACAAAATGAAACACCACTAAACATCAAACCTAAAACAAGAATCCCAATAAGAGCTGCTAACTAATGTTATTGCTTAATAAGGATTGCTACAATAATTATGCTCTGTTTAATGTGACATTTAGTTTAATTGCAAGCATTTCACCATCTGAGAATTCATTCAACAACAAGCATCTTCCACAATTGTTCTGTCCCTGTAGCTATGTACTAATTTGCAAACCCAGGACAAGATCAGCAATCAGTTAAATAGAGTATTGTGTTAGTAATTTATTTCAAACAGGTAGAAGAGATTCTCTAAGTCACATCTGAAAAACAGTGAAGGAACACTGAAAAAATTAATGGACAATCACTGGAATAGTCCCCCTATTTTCTACACTTTTTTTTACTTGGTCTGTCAGTTTAAGTATCAAATTTAGGAGCAATTGTCTAAGTAGAATGTCCTAATTCTTAGACAAAGATCCACAAATATTGTAACAGAGATGTAAGACTTCATTAATGCCTGGCTGAGGAATAACTCCACCAGATGTGACCGTAACTCCCAAAGATCACTGCCGTGTCCACTTTAATTGAACACTTCTACTTGAAATGTCATAAAACCAGGCTGGATGTCATTCTAGCATCCTTCCACCAGAACATG